CAATTCCTTTACTTTCCTTTAGGCTCACCTCTTTTTAAAAACTACATTAATGGTCATTCTTAAGTATAATGCTATGAGCCGTATACTAATATAGTTAGCGAACCGTTAAGCTGAAAGCATTAGCAGGCTTCAGTTCCACAGCTTTTTTTGTCTTGTATTTTTTCCACTAACTGGTAGTTCACAACCCCACTGACCCTATTGCGCAATCAAAGGCTTCAACGATACCTAAAAGAAGCGAATTCATGGCACTTCCTAAAAAGACTTGATCAGTAGGCAGAACTGCGAAAACGGCAGTTGAACGATGGAAAAAATTTGAAAAGGCCTGTGCGAAATGAAACATACTCAAATAAAAACAAGAAACGAGTTGCAAGGAAGACAGCTGTTTTCGAAGAATTGATGCCTAACTGGAAAGTAAAGGGGAAACAACTGAATACAATCAATGTCCGCTCGAAACTTGACCAATTCCCTAAGAAGAAATGTAATAGCGAAACAGTAATTTCAAGGTTGTGTTCGGTCGCGGGCAGACTTGGACATGCACGGCCGCTGAAAGGGAGGGAGGAGGCGAATGAAAAAATTTCGAAAAAAACGCACGAGCGGCTGCGTAGCGTTGCCACAGGCGCCAAAATAAAAAATGTAATATGAAGCTGAATGAATTTGTCCGGTCTTAGACCAGCTGGTAATGACTGAGAAAGGAAGAGGAGTGAACATTCATTCCAAAAGCAAGGTGACAAGAGGATTTCAGTTCTGAAACAGGCTCTTCAAGGGCTTATTCCAAGGTTTTTCAGCATGGCTTCAATTCGCCATATTCGCACTGCAGCAACGTCACCTCAAGTATTCAGAACGATATAAAGCATGTGAAATGTTGTAGAATTGGTTAATGGCATTTGCCTTGCAAAAGAAGTCCAAGCGGGTCAGACATAGAACGGGGTGGAGTAGGTAGGAAATTCATTTTCCTGATTCATATCAGGGTATCAAGGTATACCCAACTGGTTGAACTTTTGAAGGCGAACATATTGAGAACACGTGATTTTCAAAGTAAAATAGGGTTATTACCACATTCCTGTTAGACCATTGCATACCGCGTGGCGCACCGTGCGCGTCACGCAACCCCACGAAGTACAATGATTTTTCCGAGTTCCAAAGTCGTGGGTGTACTTTGTCAAACACACAAAAATCGCGTGTTTTAGTGATTATAAATTGTTCTTAGATTAATAGTTATGATGTTTAGAAATCACATGAAAAAAAGCGTATGGAGATGAAGGCAGACCGCATTTACGGCAAGAGGTCATTTAACGTCATTGGGCGACCAACGCGCTAGGGGTGTAACTAAGACCGCCT